ATCGGGGAGGAGGAGAGAAGAAGAGGATTTATCTAAGATCTGACTCAAAGGCCTCAGCTGCTCAGATCTCTCCTCTGCTCCTCACCTCCTCTCTCCTCTCCTCCTCTGCTTTCTGCTCCTCTCCTCCTTAGATCTTCTCTCCTGTGCTCCTGTGCTCCTCTCGTCTTCTCTCAGCTCTTCCTCTGCTCGTCCTCTGCTCTCAGCTTTCAGCACATGGTCTTGTTGGAGGAGTCCACAGAGGAGGACAGGAGCATCTCATTCTTCTGGTTCTGCAGCAGTGTAGTGTCCCGGGCGAGGCTATCCTGGGGGCTGTATCGAGGCTGGTTCCTCCGGCTGTTCCTGGCGGAGCACCTGAGCAGAGCTTTGACAATCAGATAGCACAGCTCGGCCACATTGAGAACCATGCAGATTGCAGAGGAGGACACCATGAAGATGGTGAAGACCGTCTTCTCCGTGGGGCGGGAGATGAAACAGTCCACTTTGTTGGGACAGGGCCACTGTTCACACTTGACTAGGCGGGGCATCTGGAAGCCATCGTAGACAAAGTAGAGTGCGTACATGAAGCCGCCTTCAAAGATGAGCCTGAAGAACAGGCTGCAGGTGTAGGTCCACCACAGAGGACCTGTGATGGGCAGCCTTCTCTTCTTCAGCGTCTCCAGCTCTGTGTCGGACATCTTCTCGGTGCCGTTGGAGGCCAGCATGCTCCTCTTGTCCCCGCGCTTCCTGTAGGCTACGTGCATGGCCACCAGCAGGGCGGGCGTGGACACGAAGATCAGCTGAAGGCACCACATGCGGATGTGAGACACGGGGAAGAAGTGGTCATAGCAGACGTTCTTGCAGCCGGGCTGCTGCGTGTTGCACGTGAAGTCAGACTGCTCGTCTCCCCACACACTCTCTGCCGCCAGCACCAAGATGGTGATTCTGAAGATGAACAGCACCGAGAGCCAGATTTTGCCCAGGCTCGTCGAGTGTTTGTTTACTCCGCCCAGCTGAGCGTACAGCGCCCCCCCAGCTCATGATGATGGCACAGCAGCTCCCTCTGCAACACACAATACATGCACAATAAATATACGCACAAACACGAGTGTGACTGTCAGTCATGTCCAGTGACACACATGACACATCTTCATCGTCTGAACACCACTTTGTAGATGTCATGTTTATGCTGTAACAAAACCAAAATACACTATAACATTCAAACAAAAACAGTGAGGACAGAACTACTACTGCTGCTACTACTACTACTACTAATACTACTACTGCTGCTGCTACTGTTACTGCTATTACTACTATTACTACTGCTACTACTACTACTACTACTAATACTACTACTGCTGCTGCTGCTACTGCTATTACTACTACTACTACTGCTGCCGTTGCTGCTACTAAATGAAAACACATGCTTCAGGTTTTACACTAACTACACTTCACAACACTGAGAATTTATCTCAACCCCGACTCTCATCCTCCCTTTACCTCCTCTCTCTCCTCTCTCCATTCCTCCAGCGTTTCTCTCCTCTCCTCCTCTCTCTCCTCTACCCCTCCAGAGTTTCTCTCCTCTCCTCCTCTCTCTCCTCTACTCCTCCAGTTTTTAATAATTTTCAAGAAGTGGAAAATGAAACATTCGACTCAATACATTATTAGATACATTTTAGTTTGAAAAACAGGAAAGACATGTTTAATTCCTTATAAAGTAAAGTGAGTTTGTCAACTCTGTCAGCCTAAAATGTCAGCTCCATCACACATTCCACTTGACGGTGTAAATTATGTGTAACTTAAACAATGAAATGGCAACTGAAACCATTTCAAAGTTCATAATAATAATGTAATAATGTAATGTAATCTTTTAGTAGTACATTTTTGTCACGTCGGGTGAGTGTACAAGTGTCTGTGTGTGGTGCTGTGCTCAGTGGAGTGAGGGTGACAAATATGACCCTCAGGGACACCCTTAGATAATAATAATAATGCTTGAAAATGGTTTCAAACTATGACAGTTGACAAAAAGATGAGACACTACTACAAGAAGACTAATATTTTCAAAGATGTGTTACAGTGCATTTAGAATCTGACAGTTTAAAAACATGCGTGAGATGAGAGCGTTTAGGCTCAGTTTGGCTCTACTTTTTTTTCTTTTCTTTGTTCCTCATTTGAAGTAACTAAAGACTAACTTAAAGAGCAAGTTACTCTGTTACATTTACCCAGTTACACTACAACCTCCAACTGAGTAACTTTTTGAAAAAATTGTACTTTCCAGCATACTTTCACTCTTATTTGAGTAATATTTTTAGAACTCTTACTTGAGTAAAAGTTAGGGTTAGGGTTAGGGTGCTTCCTCTTCCCACTGTGAGTCTAAAGTGACAAATCTGTGACAATCTGAAATGATTTGAACATTTGTGTTTCTTGCAGCTCCTTCACATCTGATTTAGTTTATGTCATTTTTGTTTATCCTTTGAAACCAGATTGTGTGCATTATTCACTGTTCACATTTTAAAGCAGATGTTACGCCCCTACATTTGTAAGTTACTAATTTATTTCCCAAATACTTTCTTACTCTTACTTGAGTAATTTCTTGGACTAGCACTTTGTAGTTCTTCTTGGCCAATATTACTTTGAAGTAACGTTACTTTTACTTGAGTACTATTTTATGCCAGTCTAACCACATCTGGTCCTAAAAAAACGTGTTAGAAAAATAGAATCCACGTCCGTGCGCGTGACACAGCGAGGATCGGTATGACAGAACAGGACGCACCAGAGCGTGAAAGAGCAGCCTACCTGTCACGACGTAACACCTCACGTAACGCCTTTATTTGAAGAGAATGTAAAGTGAAGGAGAAAACATTTAACAAAGCAAAAAATCTGGTCTTTCCAAAGGACAGACACACAAATGAGAAGCTAAATCACACGTGAAGGAGCAGTGCAAGAAACACAAATGTTCAAATCATTTCAGATTGTCACAGAAAGATTTTGTCACTTCAGACTCACTCACAGTGGGAAGCACAACTTAGAGAGTACTGTTACTTCAGTAAAAACATTTGATACTGTACTGTTACGCCTACTTCAACAAAAATATGAGTGAAGTAGGAGTAAAAGTATGCTGTTTAAAAAGTACCCCGTATGTGACTCCCAAAATTCCCACAGCCCTGAGCCCAGAGGAGACGCGCTCACACCGGCGGCTCTGTCGTCTCAGCAGGGACCTCCGTGTGCGCGCAAAGTGCAAACACAGTCCCATCACCAAGCGGCACAGCGCGAGCCTCCTGTACCTGTGCCTGTACCTGTGGGCCTCACCTGAGAAACGCGTAAGGGAATCACAGCTGTGCCATGCGAGCGCAGAGGCCTCAGAAATCACAGCAGCCTCTTCACAGACGCTCCCGGGGCCAGTGCGCGTCTGTCCCGCCTCCAGCCGTCTGAGGAGCACCTGAGGCGGGCCGCGTTCCATGGGCCAGGCCCTGCCCACGGCCCTGCCCACAGTCGTTCGTAACGTGACGTTCGTGAACGACACAAACACAAACTTGATTCTTGTGAGCTTGAGCCATGTTCCTGTTCTGTTCCCTCCTCACAAACAGACCCGGAGCTGTATTTTGTTTCCTTCATATGTTTGAGTTACTTTATTATGAGTCTGTCCACATCTCCAAAGCTCCAAATGCTCTGTTCCTCCTTGATGTTCCACCTTGATGTAATGAAGCAGTAGTTTTCCAGTTAAGAGCTCATTTTCCTTTTGTTCAGGAGTTATTTGAATTCTAGGGCTGAAATGATCCAAATGATTCTCGTGAAGGTGTAACACCACATGACATCACAAGGTGGACTGAGAGAAAAACTAAATCTAAACATGCAGGGTGTGTATGTAGGGTGTGTGGATTTTTACATTGATTAACGCTGAACCAACACACGAGCAGAGCAGCAGAGCAGCAGAGCAGGAGCCTCGTGTCAGAGCTTTGAGCTTTGTGCAGAAATACAACCGCATATGTGGCATCTGAGTGGCAGTTCGTTTATTTATAGCCTAATTATTAATGTTGTCCTGATGTTGACATGAACGGATCCAAAAGCTTCGGATCCCACAAAGAAGCCGAAAGTCCCAGCAGCCTGGACGCGGGTCCCCGGGAGCGGAGGGAGGGCAGGGGGGAGGGGGCGCGGGGGATTAGCGCAGGAGCGTCAAACAGCGTCAGTGAGTCAGGAGCCGTAAACGTGGACCCGCACCGTTTCTGGTAAAACACTTCACGTCTTATCGACAAAGTCACCGGGTCCACGCCGGGTCCTCACCGGGTCCTCACCGGGTCCACGCCGGGTCCACACGCACTAGTCTCTTCAGGCTCGGATGTTCAGAGCCGGACACAAAGACACAAACTAAATCATGAAGGAGCCGCAACAAACACAAATGTCATTTCAGACTGACACATAAAACTTTTGACTTACGCACAGAGGAACGAGGAGGGAGATTACAACTTTTACTCAAGTAATAATACTGTTACTTCAATCAAAAGTAGGAGTAAAGGAAAAAGTAAAAAAATCAAAAGTGTGTGTGTGGGTGTGTGTGTGTGTGTGTGGGGTGGGGGGGGGGGGGGGGGATAGAGAGGGGGGATAGGGAGGGAGAGAGACAGAGAGAAAGACAAAAACAAACAAAGAGTGGAAGAGGAAGCTAAGAAGAGAAAGAGAGGGGGGATTGAGGAGAGAGATAAAAAAAGAGGATGAAGGTGTGAAGAGAGAGAACAGAAATGAAGAAAGGAACATCGGAGAGAGAGAGAGAGAGAGATGAGACAAGAGAAGAAGAGAGGGCAGAAAGAGCAGAGGAGAGAAGAAAGGTGAAGAGAGACACACAGAGACAGACTTTATTAATCCTGTGGGAAATTAAATTTTTTTTTGCAGTAAACTGTCGCAGTTGATGTTGCCGCAACATTCACACTGTGCGTCTCAGTCCCTTTGTGTCTCACTCAAAGGTCTCAGGACAGGTTCACAGGAGGACTGGTCAGGGAGGGTCAGCACATCTGTGTCAGGACAGGTTCACAGGAGGACTGTCAGGGAGGTCAGCACATCTGTGTCAGGACAGTCTGAGCAGAGGAAAAGCCAAAAGTGTCCCTCCTCTGTGATAACTATCTAGTTTCCATACTGGTTTGTGTATTAAGTCATATCTGATTTTCAACACTTTCGACATGGTCCCTGTCGTCTTTGTTTGTCCTCGTCCCTTCATGCCCACACGTACATTAGTCTCACCAAACAGCACCAGACATCACTTCAAAGATCACATGTTTATTGGACAATCAGAGTACAAAAGTTCACAACAGATGAGGAGAGAATCCCATCTGTGCTCCAGTGTCACACTCGCACAGGGACTCAGAGTAAGAGTGCACGTTATTCTTTCATTTAAAAAAAGCATCTGTCATTCAGTCAATCATAATTCCAGGTAAACCACAAACGTCAACCACAGCATTCAGCTCCAGCCAAATGAGCTCATCGAGGGCAGCAGTTACAGAGGTGAAGTTGGAGCCGAATCCAACGCAAAAGGAACCTGGCTGGTCTGTTACTAATGATCATAGCCCGATTTATGGACACAAGAGCGACTTAAAAACACCAGGATCATCAGGTTTTTCAACAGAATCAAACCCCCTTTAACAGCCATCACAGATTTCAAAGGGTCAGAGGGCTAAAGGGGTGAAATGTGTGAGGGGTCAAAGGGCTAAAGGGGTGAGATGTGGGCGGGCTCATAGGGTTAAAGGGATGAGATGTGCAAGGGGTCAAAGGGTTAAAGGGGTGAGATGTGCGAGGGGTCAGAGGGCTAAAGGGGTGAGATGTGCGAGGGGTCAGAGGGCTAAAGGGGTGAGATGTGCGAGGGCTCAGAGGGATAAAGGGGTGAGATGTGCGAGGGCTCAGAGGGCTAAAGGGGTGAGATGTGCGAGGGCTCAGAGGGCTAAAGGGGTGAGATGTGCGAGGGCTCAGAGGGCTAAAGGGGTGAGATGTGCGAGGGCTCAGAGGGCTAAAGGGGTGAGATGTGCGAGGGCTCAGAGGGTTAAAGGGGTGAGATGTGCAAGGGGTCAAAGGGCTAAAGGGGTGAGATGTGTGAGGGCTCAGAGGGTTAAAGGGGTGAGATGTGCAAGGGGTCAAAGGGCTAAAGGGGTGAGATGTGCGAGGGCTCAGAGGGCTAAAGGGGTGAGATGTGCGAGGGCTCAGAGGGCTAAAGGGGTGAGATGTGAGAGGGCTCAGAGGGCTAAAAGGGTGAGATGTGAGAGGGGATAAATGGATGAGGGAGACAGGTCTAGTTCTCCTTCTTAATCTGGGCCAGGCGGGACAGCAGCTGGTCTCTGCGCTCTGTCCGGGTTGAGAGCTGCTCCGGGGGGACGAGCGCACACATCTCCTGTGGACAAGAGACACATCAGAGAGGTCCCACAGTAGCCAATCAGAAGCAGCCAATTGGAAGCAGTCAGTCAAGATTGGCTGCAACATGAAGTGCAATTTGAATAGGCCCAATTAGCAAATAGCTAAAGGCTGAAATCTTTTGAAGCACCATCATTTCCTCCACAGACAACAAATACAGAAAATAATTTTTTTCATCAAATTTTGACTTTTAAATGCATTAGGACCACTTTTTTTTTTTTGCTCTGAAAAACATGTTTTGTGAATTTATTGTTTTCATTCTGAATTTAAGTTACAGAATTTTTAAGGTTTTCAATGTGTATTGAAAATTAAAATAAAAGAATCACTTCTTTTTTTGCATAAACACTGCTAACCCCGCAGTTTAAATCTGTACAACAATCTCAAATCTAATTGCAATCACAATTCTTGTCATTAAAATCAGAATATGATATTAGTCTCAAACCAGTCAGCCCTAGTGCCAACCTCCAGCCATGGCACAGGTGGTCATGAAAACCTATTTCTTAGCACTGACATCTCCAACCATCTGTACCAAGAATACATACAGTGTATGTGACTGTGTATGTGTCTGTGTATGTGACTGTGTGTGTGACTGTGTATGTGTCTGTGTATGTGTCTGTGTATGTGACTGTGTATGTGTCTGTGTATGTGACTGTGTGTGTGACTGTGTGTGACTGTGTATGTGACTGTGTATGTGTCTGTGTATGTGTCTGTGTATGTGTCTGTGTATGTGACTGTGTATGTGACTGTGTCTGTGTGTGACTGCGTATGTGTCTGTGTATGTGACTGTGTATGTGATTGTGTATGTGACTGTGTGTGTGTGTGTGTCTGTGTATGTGACTGTGTATGTGTCTGTGTATGTGACTGTGTGTGTGTGTGTCTCTGTGTGTGTGTCTGTGTATGTGTCTGTGAATGTGACTGCGTATGTGTCTGTGTATGTGACTGTGTATGTGTCTGTGTATGTGTCTGTGTATGTGTCTGTGTCTGTGTGTCTTGTGTATATGTCTGCGTATGTGACTGTGTATGTGTCTGTGTATGTGACTGTGTATGTGACTGTGTCTGTGTATGTGTCTGTGTCTGTGTATGTGTCTGTGTATGTGACTGTGTATGTGACTGTGTATGTGACTGTGTATATGTCTGCGTATGTGACTGTGTATGTGACTGTGTATGTGTCTGTGTATGTGACTGTGTCTGTGTATGTGTCTGTGTGTCTTGTGTATATGTCTGCGTATGTGACTGTGTATGTGTCTGTGTATGTGACTGTGTATGTGACTGTGTCTGTGTATGTGTCTGTGTATGTGTCTGTGTATGTGACTGCGTATGTGTCTGTGAATGTGACTGCGTATGTGTCGGTGTATGTGACTGTGTATGTGACTGTGTGTGTGTGTCTGTGTCTGTGTATGTGACTGTGTATGTGTCTGTGTATGTGACTGCGTATATGTCTGTGTATGTGACTGTGTATGTGTCTGTGTATGTGACTGTGTGTCTGTGTATGTGTCTGTGTATGTGACTGTGTATGTGTCTGTGTATGTGTCTGTGTATGTGTATGTGTCTGTGTATGTGTCTGTGTATGTGACTGTGTGTCTGTGTGTGTGTGTCTGTGTGTGATGTGTCTGTGTCTGTGTATGTGACTGTGTATGTGTCTGTGTATGTGACTGTGTGTCTGTGTATGTGTCTGTGTATGTGACTGTGTGTCTGTGTATGTGTCTGTGTATGTGACTGTGTATGTGTCCGTGTCTGTGTATGTGACTGTGTATGTGTATGTGTCTGTGTATGTGACTGCGTATGTGTCTGTGTATGTGACTGTGTATGTGTCTGTGTATGTGTATGTGACTGTGTGTATGTGACTGTGTGTCTGTGTATGTGTCTGTGTATGTGTCTGTGTATGTGACTGTGTATGTGTATGTGTCTGTGTATGTGTGCTGTGTATGTGTATGTGACTGTGTGTATGTGACTGTGTGTATGTGTCTGTGTCTGTGTCTGTGTCTGTGTATGTGTCTGTGTATGTGTCTGCGTATGTGACTGCGTATGTGACTGTGTATGTGACTGCGTATGTGAATGTGTACGTACTGGTGTTGTTGAGTGAGGGGTGTTAGCAGGGGTGGGTAGTACTCAGTTACATTTACATGAGTAACTTTTTAAAGAAATTGTACTTTACAGAGTACTTTTCTAGGAGTATGCTTTTACTCCCACTTGAGTAATATTTATATTGAAGTAACAGTACTCTTATGTCTGACAATCTTCAAATCTTTATGCTGACAATATGAAGTGATCTGAACATTTGTGCTTCTTGCAGTGCTCCTTCACATATGATTTAGTTTTTTCTAATTTTTGTGTCCTACATAACTGCACATTTTAAAGCAGACATTACTCTTATCTGAGTAGTAGTTTTCTTATACTTGGTTACTCTTACCTTCTTGCAACCACTATTTTATTCTCCTTCTTGAGTAATAATATTTTGAAGTAACGTTACTTGAGTATAATGTTTGGCTACTCTGGCTACTCTATCACTTCTGGGCATTAGCTCAGAGGACCTTGTGAGATGTTTGACTGGTAATAGTGGCTGCTGTGTGTGCTGCAGTGGTGTGTCTGTGCTAATGCTGTTAACCATCAGCCAAAGAGGAATCCTGCTCATCGATCCTGTTCTGTCTGTCTGTTTGAGGAACACATGCTCTCCTACAACCTTTATCTTGTACTATAACCAGGAAAGGTTAATCCATACCAAACTAGTATCAAAACTAGCTACTAATTTGAACAAGTATTTATACTGAAAAAAGTCCCATAAACAGATAAAATTCTCCTGAACAATTTTAGAAAGATATGGTGCTGTATCAGAACTAGAATAAAACCACAAAGTAACAATAGGAAAGCACCATTATTTGGTGGTTAAAATGGCTATAAAAAAAAAAAAAGAAAGAAAAAGAAACATTTTATACAGAGAATCAAGCCTATTCCTTACTATCAAAATTGATTTTAATATCATATTTGTAACAACTTGAGTGAGTAATGCAGCTCGTAACATGTCTGAAAATCAAATGTTCAACTTAAGCATAGTGAGTGAAAGTAACTGCAGCAGGATGTGTATTCTACGATGACTTTGACTGGGCAGAGCTCACCTTGACAATGTCCTTGGCCTGGTCCCCAGTGAAATCAGGGGTGGGCCCGAAGGAGGACAGGACACGCTGGATGCCCGGGCCGTACCTCCTCATGTAGTCCCCCAGACCTAAGAAGAAGGAGGAGCTGTGAGATACAAATGTCATAACTGCAGTATTAATATTCAGAAATAACCTGAGCATGTTTAACTGCTTTGAGCTTAAAGGTTCGATATTTCACAAGACTGACTCTTGTGAGTTTAAAGTCATGTTCTAAAGCTGTTAAGTCTTCACAAACAGACCTGGAGTTGTGTTTAGTTTCATTTGCACATGTTTGAGTAACACTGAATTTTTAATTATAATTATTCATTATTACCCACACTTCACCAGTATGTGGATTGTAAACTTTGGGACAATAGGACTCTGGACCTGCTGTATGCCAACTCTAAGGAGGCATACAGTGGCACTGTCCTGCCCCCACTGACCAATCAGACCACAATTTTGTCCTGTTAAAGTCTCAGTATGTCCTTGCAGTGAAGAGGCAGCCTGTCACCACTAGGACTGTGGAAGTGGAGTCAGGAAGCTGGCCATGCTGTTCGGGACTGTTTTAAGGCCACAGACTGGGATGTGCTCTGCCAGCCCCATGGGGACAATGTTGACAGCATGACAGACGGTATAACAGATTACATCAACTTCTGTGAGGATACAGAGACCGGTGTTACCCCAACAACAAGCCCTGGATCACCAGCCAGCTCAAGGATCTGCTCAACAAGAAGAACTCTGGAGACAAGGACAAGGTGATGAGGACAGAGCGACAGCTGAAGGTCCAGCTTCGTCAGGGTGAGAAGGCAGAACAGAACAGCACGAGAGACATTTGGAAGGTGATGAAGGCCATTACTGCTTTTAACAACAAAATAAAGCAGCAGGACAACAGCCCAGACAGGTCAAGTCTACTCAATTTGCATTTTAATCATTGTTCATGTCCTGACACCCCTGTCTCTACACCTCCCAGATGCCCAATCCACACCTCACCACAGACCACTCAGACAGGCATTCATCAGCCCATCACCTCTGCTCCCACACTGACCCGCACCCCCATGGAGGAACCCAGCTCAGTGTCTTTATCTCCTCAAGTTTTCTGGACCAGATCCAAGTCAACCCCGGTGTGCTGAGGACAAGTGCAGCACAGCTTACTATGATAATGTACTTTCTCTTCACCCTAAGTCTGAAGCTTGAAAGGATCCCTGTGCTATGGAAGACCTCCAGCATTGTGCCAGTGCCCAAGAAGCCCATTCCATCTGGACTCAATGACTTCAGACCAGCTACTTTGACGTCTCATGTCATGACGTCATGTTTGAGAGACTTGGCTCAGCTCAGACCCCTGGTGGCACCATCCCTAGACCATGTCCTTCAACGGGGCCACTCTCACCTGTATAGTGTTATAGGCTTTGTGAAGATATTGCTTTTGGATTTCTCCAGTGCCTCTAGCCCTTTCTGATGAGTGAGAAGCTCCTCAGGATGGTGTCAGCTCCTCCACTGTCTCCTGGATTACTGACTACCTGTCAGGCAGGCCTCAGTACGTGTGACTGGGGAATACTCTGTCTGATACTGCGGTCAGTAATGTAGGAGGCCCCCACAGTACAGTACTGTCTCCGTTTCTGTTCTCACTGTACACCTCTGTTTTCTGGTACAGCTCTGGCTGTGAGCTGGAGACATTTGTCACAGTGAGGGACAGGAGGACACTGGACAAACTGCTCTCCATCATAGGCACTCCTGCTTACCCACTGCCCTAGATTATAGACAGATAATACTCCCTACAATTGTACAACAGCTCACCCTTATATAAGAGATAATACTCCCTACAACTGTACAACAACTCAGCTTTATGTAACACATAATCCTGTGTCCTGTCCATCATCATATAATCGTTGCACTGTTTCCTTCTATATTGTATATTTGTATTACTCTTATTTACTATAATTGTATATTTTATTTTTACATATGCATTTATATAATTATGCCTTATCGAACACCAGTCTCTTGCATATTTTGCTACAAATTCAGATTTTACTATTGCCATTTATTTATTTATTTTGTCTTTTTTGTTTTTCTATTTGTTATTATAATATTTTGTGATGTGTGAACTGCTGTGTCCAAATGATTTCCCTGGATCAATAAAGTTGGTCTAAGTGTACATCTCCAAAGCTCTAAATGCTCAGGGGTTTATTCCAGGTGTGAAATGATCCAAATGATTCTAGTGAACGTGTACAGAGATTACAAAGACAGTGGAGCCCTTCTTGTATTACCACATGAGAGCGTAAGGTGAAACATCATCTTCCTTTTGACCGAAGAACTAAACATGCAGGGTTTGTGCGTTAAACATGAACATGACACAAAATCAAACTCCAGGTACTGGAAACAACATTATAACATAGATCAGAAAATCCTGTAATATAGGCCCTTTTAAGTTGGCGTACCTGACTTTTACAGTCATAAAAAAGTTAATTTGAAACAGTTTGCAGTGATCCAAAGTTATTCCTCACTACCTTATGTATTCCGAGCATCCTAATTATTCACTGCTATGAGTTTATAAAGACTTTTCACAGCTCTCAGAGACCTTTCAGAGAGCTGTCATGAGGAGAGCACAGCATGTCACAGTAATGCTAAGAGCTGGAGGATAATAAAAGGCTTTAGAATTCGATGCAGACAGTACACAGTGGACATGTTTTCACCTCAAGAGCTGCTTATAGATAAGACATATTTTGCTCAAATAGGTAGAAGATCAGGTCCAGACTCTTTAATATTATTGTCTCATTCATGACTGGGACAGGAGAAATGGTCATTTACAGTATGTTTTGTGTCCTTCTTTAGTGTGTTCATAAAGATAAAAAGATTAAAGTTACACACATATTTAGATCATTGTGTTACTTTTGATTGTTTTGAAAATGCTATATTTGTCAAAAACGTGTTAACAATGTTTAAAAAGTTTAACTTTAGATGCTCTGTTTCTGTTCCCCCTTCAGAGTACTATCACAACACAATCAACGAGCATCCTGCTAATGAAACTACTGCACATTACATCAGGTTTGTGAACATATAATGTATTGTTTTGTATTATGCTGTTGTACATTTAGGAAAAACTGCAGTGTGGGAGCATGGGTGATGTAGGCTTGTGGGCGCAGTCTTGGCTAGAATTGTAAAGCTAAAGAACAATCTATGATCGTGCGTCAAATCGATGCGATCATCTGCATCATCGTGAATCCCTTCCAGAGTGTCTGTGTTGACCAACGTGCACCTCCAAAATGATCTAACTACGCAACTACAGCAAGGCAAAGCGACACAGACAATAAAGACAGACAATAAAAACTGTGATTGGTCCTCTCTGCATCCGCTCAGACTCCGCTTTCCTGCTTCATTTTGTAAACACGAATGCCAGTTTTAAATCCTAGCCTCCTTGCATTGTAGCGGTGAATTACTTGGTAGTGCATGAACTTTGACGCGGATCCATACATCAAAAACGACAGTGACAAGGCCTCAGCAGCAGTGTGCTGTGAGTTGAAGCCCTTAACTTGCCCTTAACTGTTCCACTTTGATGCGGTAACAGAGGAAGAACTCCACTGTGTTTTTACACTCCATACACATTCACTAGAAACTTTTCAAGGACTGAAGCCTTTGGATTTGCCTCTAAACTAAAGCTAAAATGTATGTTATTTTGAAAACTAAGGTGCAGAGCATTTGGAGCTTTGGAGATGTAGACAGACTCATAACATTTACTCAAACATGTGTGAATGAAACAAAACACAACTCCAGGTCTGTTTTTAATGAGGCAAGAACATTCTAACATGACTTAAAGCTCATGTTATTACACAATTTCAGGTGATATAGAACCTTGAAGTGTGCTTCTTTAATGTGTTCATAATGATACAACAGGATTAAAGGAGAGTGCCTCATCTGCATATATTTATGTTTTGATTTCTTCTAGATTTGTGAGCTTTGCAGCATGCCCTTGCCATTTAAGCTGAGCCGTGTTTACATCAGGCTATGCTCTCTCTGTATCACCCTGGTGTCACAAGTCCCATGTATGTTCAAGGATGTGCACGGCTCTCAGCTCACACTTGCACCACAACTAAAGCAGCATGTGGCTCTCAGCAGGGAGGGACAACACTCTCCTTTTGCACACCCATGGACAGGCTAATGTCCACAAAGCACTATATGTACGAGAAGAGGAAGAGTTTGGATTATTTCATCTTAATGTTACTTCAAAATAATATTACTCAAGTACAAGAACAAAGTAGAGGTCAACAAAATTACTCAAGTAGAGTAACAAAGTATACAGGAAAGTACTGCTGAAGTACTAGTACTAGTACAAGTAACTGTTGGGACGTAGCATCTGATTCATAGCCACCATCAGAAACCATCAACAACATTTTTTACTCAAGTAAGAGTAACACTCTTTCAAAATAATATTACTCAAATATATCAAAATAGTGGTAAGAAAAATTACTCAAGTAAGAGTAAAGTAAAGTATTAAGGAAAACTGCTACTCAAGTGAGGCTAAAGAGTTACTGTCAGGACATAACATTTGATTTAAAATTTACTGTAAATGAATATAATGTAAAAAAAATCTTGTCTTTTCAAAGCACACACACACACAAACAGTTTTTTTCACTAGGTTGACTATTTTTATTATTATTATTATTAAATTATGCAGCAAAGGAAAAAAACAAAACTGAAATAACTGTAAATATAAAAGGAGGATGACAGAGGCACTCTGATTTGTAGAGTATTTATTGGTGGTCACAGTTGGTCTGCCCATCCTTCTTTTATCTCTACACAAATCCAAGCCCCTGGTCTGATGAGCACCTGTTTTTGTAAGCCTGGATCTAGTGCAGCATTCCCACACCATGATTTTTGTTAACTTTAAATATGTTTTATAAATGTTAATATTTTAGATTCAGGTTCCTCAAAGTATCCACCCTTTGCTTTGTCGACAGTGCTATAAACCCTTGTTTTTCTCTTCATGATGATGTCCCTGAAATGGTTTTAACTTCACAGCTGTGCTACGACAGGGTCAAGAAATGCTTCAAGTGCAAACTAGGGCAAAGGGTGGTTATTTGAATAAAAATCTACAACAAATTATCTTTTCTTTCCTACATTCCACGTGATGTCTTAAAAGTCTGTCTGTTTAGACAATAGTATATGTGGATCAGAAAGATTGTGTTGCTCTCTGGCTGTAGCTGCTGTGGAGTGGAGTAGCCAGAACCCCACTTTCCCACTTTCCTGGCTTCCGTGGTGAAAGCAGAGTTCCGAGGTGAAACCTTAGCGGCGGGCTGTCCTTTAGGCCCACTGTAGTGCGCTGGCACAGGGACAGTGGCCCTGGCTGTGCCCTGTTGTTCTGCTGTGAACATGGAGGACGGGGCAGTGCCAGTATCTGATGGAGCCAGGTAAGGCCATCGCAGGAGGGTTGGTTACAGAGCGCACTTACAGGAGGAGTGGCTGTGGTGTAGATTACGCGGTGACTGCGTTCATTCAGACCCCCATCAAAAGCTGCCTTTGTTGGGCTGAGTGTGTGAGTGTACAGAGAGGGGGGACACAGCTTTCACACCCCTCTTAGATATTCTCCATGTCTCTGCTGGGGAATCGGCTCTCTGTTCTGTGAGCCGGCTCTGGGAGACCACGCACTACACCAGTCTGGACCCTGTTTTTACTCTGTCTGCCGTTTTATACTATGTAATAACTACGTTTGTCAAGTATTGAAAATCAGATACTAATCGATACTATAACTAGTATCGAAACTAGATACTCATTGAACAAGTATTGATACTAAAATTCACAGGACATAAATGAACCTTTCCTGAAGCTTAAGAATCTTTACATCTTGAGCTGTATCAGAACATGAGCACATAGACGAGTTATGCTAAGAATCACAGGGTCCCTCATGATACGATACGATACACAATACATGGCTCACGATACGACGATACATGGAATAATCAATATATTCCACATGATATTCTGTGATATATTGCTGAACCAAACACATTTGACACCAGTATTTCTTTGTTAAACAATCAGTTGTGTTAATATGAGATACACCTATTTTAATAATTAAATCAGTGAATCTGTCAAATGCATTGCATAAACAATTTTCCTTCCAAAAAAAAAAAAAAAAAAACGCAAAAGAAAAATTGCCGATATATCAATGCAGCAGCCCACGATAATGATACTATGACACTATCAACATAACGCCATATTTCGTGATGGTATCGGAACTGGAATTGAGTCTAGTCCTTAGTATTGAAATCATCCATCCATTTTCTTCCTCTTATCCGGGGCTGGGTCATGGGGCAGCAGTCTACGCAGGGACTCCCAGACATCCCTGAACCCAGACACTTCCTTCAGCTCCTCCGGGGGGACCCCGAGGTGTTTCCAGGCCAGTCGAGAGACAAAGTCCCTCCAGTATGCCCTGCTGCTCCTCTCAACGTGAAGGAGCAGCAGCTCTACTCCGAGCTCCTCCTGTGTGACTGAGCTCCTCACCCTATCCCTAAGGGAGCGCCCAGCCACCCTGCGAAGGAAACACATTTGTGCCACTTATATCCGCAATCTCGTCCTTTCGGTTGTCAAACTCATGACCATAGGTGAGGGTAGGAACATAGATTGGCAGTAAATCGAGAGCTTTGCCTTCCAGCTCAGCTCCCTCTTCACCACAATGGTCTGATACAGCGACCGCATCACTGCATCACAATGTTAGTATTGTGACAACTCTAATGCCCAATAAACTTAGGCTGACAGATCAAAATGATGTTGAATGTATTGAATGTGTGGCCAAATTGAAAGCAAAATAAGGGGAATTGAGCAATGACTGGACTCCATAATATGTTGGACTGTGCAATGATGGGAACTGTGCAAAGAATGGAGTGTGCAATACTGGGAACTGTGTAATGAATGAGTGTACAATATTTTATTGTCTGACCCCCTGTGATCCCAGCTCTTTGGGACAATGGATGGAAATGAGCCTTAGGCTACAATCCAGTGTGTTTACATTCATGCTGTGTCATGTTTGTCCATTAACATGTCATAAATCAGATAAATAAATCTAATAAATAATTGTAGTGGAATTAGTCCCTACTGTCCTGTTACCTTGAGGTGCGTTCAGGTGCATGGTTTCCATCGGACCAATGAAAGCGTAGCGCATGCCCAGTCCCTCTGACATGACCAGGTCCACGTCCTTCACCGAGATCACACCATCCTGCAGCGCAAAGGCACACATCAACAACACATCGCACCCTCCACCTCTCCGTCCCACCTCTCCATCCTATCCCACCTCTCCATCCCATCCCACCTCTCCATCCCACCTCTTCATCCCACCTCTCCATCCCACCTCTTCATCCCACCTCTCCATCCCACCTCTCCATCCTATTCCACCTCTGAGTCCCACCTCTCCATCCCACCTCTCCATCCTATTCCACCTCTGAGTCCCACCTCTTCATCCCACCTCTCCATCCTATTCCACCTCTGAGTCCCACCTCTCTGGGTGAGGGAGGGGGCAGATGGGTGATGGAGGGGGCAGGTAGGTAAGCAAGGCAGGGTTTGGAGGGGGCAGGAAGGCAGACTGGCATGTAGTCCTGCTTTGAGTCCTGGCACAGTCCAGTCTTTGTTGGGGCCCTTGTGTGAGAGTCATTGTGGGGCCAAGCAGGTTCTCAGGCTCTGGGTTTCACACTGGCCCTCGGTCAGCTCCATTCTGTTACATAAAAGCCTGGGCTGTCACGGAGAAGGCCACTGCCCTTTCACTGGCTCAGGACTGCCAGGTACTGCACAATGAGCACGGTCGTCTCCATGAAGTGGACAGAAGTGAATGTCTCCAAGGAACACGTGAAGTCTCATTTGTATCACACATTTAAAACAAGCACAGCTGAACAGTGCTTAACATACAACAGTATAAACCTAACGTGTATGCATGTGCCTGTGGATGTGTGTGTGTGTGTGGCTGTGGATGTGTGTGTGTGTCTGTGTGTGTGTGGATGTTTGTGTGTTTGTATGTGTGTATGTCTGGATGTGTTTGTGTGTGTGTGTGGATGTGTATATGTGAGTGTGGATGCATGTACGTGTGGATATGTGTGCCTGTGGGTGTGTGGATGTGTGTATGTATGCGTGTACCTGTGGATGTGTGTGTGTCTACGTTTGTGTGTGTGGATATATGGATGTGTGTGTGGACATGTGTGTTTGTGTGTGTGTATGCGTGTATCTCTGGATGTGTGTGGATGTTTGTGTGTGTGCAGGTGTGTGCGTGTGTGTGTGAGACTGTGTGTGTGTGTGAGACTGTGTGTGTGTGTGTGAGACTGTGTGTTGTGTGGTTGCATGGGGTAAGGCTGAGCAGAGGCATGTGGGATTGTTTGTAATGATTATAAAGTAGTTTGTGTTAGTTTGGTATGAAAAGGGCTTTCTACGGTTTGATTGACAGATGCAGTCATTAGCCTGGCTGAACCTACACTGAGGTACACGGGCTGATGCTGCTCCAGAAAATGTTTGTGTCCCCAGGAGCATTCTTGTGACCTGTTCTGCTAGCGCAGCTGGGCCTTTCACCGTGGAGTTTACCTTCCGAAGCACTTCACCACAGTAGCTCAGGACTAACCCTCAGAGCCAGGACATGGAAAGACGAATGAAGCACCTTCACTGAGTCATCCGGTCTTATCTCTGAGTCCTGTCCCATGAGCCCTGTGCAATCCAGGAGCAGATTAAGAATAATGATATAAACCCCAAACATGAGGTCCTGGTTGAAGAGTAACAGCCCTAGACCTGAGTGACAGCTGTTCTGGTTGGACCTGTTGACAGAGTAGAAGCAGCCGGCCCCACAGGTTTACAGAGCTGTGTGGAATTTAGCTTTATTACATCTTCTATAAAAGTTCATGCTAAATGTAGGGCAAAAATGTATTGACTCATACAGCCCTCACACACAGCACATGTGCGATGGAAAAGATGCTTTATGTGTGTAAGAGGAGTTTAAATATGACTCAATTTCAAACACCCAATACTGTTCCCTGCTCAGTTCAGTTGAATTCCTTTATTGTCATTGTCATATAAAATAACAATGAAATTACGTTAGAGCATCACACAAACTGCTTAATATTTTAAAAGTGTGTAATAGTATTGAGCCACCACGTAAACATTACTCCTACTCTGTAAACATTAGTATACAGTATTCTGTCAGTAACACAAACACAGCATCTGGACATGATCACTCTCCTTTAGTGGAATGGTGCTGCCAGAGACTCATCTTACACACAGTGTTACAAGATGAATATAGGATTAACAGTTTATAGATGCTCAGTCTTAATCCAAAACCAGACAATAAAATCACACCAAGTCAGACCTGAGCATTGTCCATCTCCGGGGCCACATACGGCCCTTTGGTTGACTCTGTCCGGTCAGTTTAAGCACATTTGAAATTACAAAATAAACCCATTTTGTAAGTTGACCTAATGCATGAAATAAAGTAATGCTTTTATTTTAGAGATGTTTTTTTTTGAATGCCATTTTTTGAAAGGCAACTTCACTTTTTCATTACTTTGTCATAATATAAAGTCTTCCCAGTCTGACCAGCTCGTCAAAACAATGACATTTACTGCTTTATATAAAGAATTTTTATGCAGAATTGAGTTAAGCATTTTGGCCCTCTACAATAATTTCTGTTTCTCATGTGGCCCCATGGAAAAAAATAATTGCTCACCCCTGATCCACGTGATCACAGGCTGCTAGTCCTCCACTGTGCATGAGAGTGTCAAGCCCCATCCCCCTGCGAGCCGGGCCCAGGTCCTAATCGTACCAGTATCCACACTGGAAGGCAGTGCATCCAGCGGTCTGTTTGGGACCCCTAAAACAGCACTGTCACATAGGGCCACTCAAATAGAGCCCCTCACATAGGGCCCCTCACAAACCTGTGAGCACATGCAGTCCCTGAGTTACAGCACTGTGTGAAACTGATAAGAGTAGGAAAGAGAAAGCCTTATCAATAACAGCATTGCAGCTATCAATTATGAATCTGAAAAAAGTGTTTTTAAGATGACTTAAATGTCTCAACACTGGTCTCCTGCTTTGTCCTCCTGTGATGAGGCATCTCTCTACTCCAGTCTGATCCTGAGCACTACGGCTTCGACATCCAGTTCACGTGACAGAGCCCTGGAGACAGCGTGACCATTCTGTCCATGTGAAAGGCTCCAGAGCATCACATGAGCCTCTCCACAGCTTCCACCGTGACACTCCACAGCCTGCACCGTGACTGAGACAGAAAATCACAGTTAGAATGCTCCAGAGCAGTGCTCCTCCTCACAGCGCTCAGAGCTGCAGAGGCTGGGCACTGATGGGGTAGAGGCCTTCATGTGTGAGGGACTCATGTGCACTGTGCGCTACTGTCAGGCCTCAGTAGACCTTTAAGAGATCTGATCAAGAGGTTGCTTCCAAAACCACTTCTAAACCCACTGCTGTGCGTCCACAATGGAATGTGCTCAAAAAGTTAATGACAAACGGCAGAAGTCAGCAAATAAAAAAAGTAAGAGCTGCTATGGCTCTGCTCATCAGCAGACTGAAGCTATTAGAAGAGTTCAGGCCTCTGATGACCCATTCTCACAATGTGCTCATATATCAGCAGGTGTACTGCCAAACCTATATAGAGGCACACCTGTCACATGTGCAGAGGCTCACCTGTCAAATGTGCAGAGGCTCACCTGTCAAATGTGCAGAGGCTCACCTGTCACATGTGCAGAGGCTCACCTGTCACATGTGCAGAGGCTCACCCTTCACATATGAAGAGGCTTACCTGTGCAGAAATGATCTAAAGGTGGACCAAAAAGTGGATAAAATTATCTCTAAATGAGACAAACACACAAACTGAACAGAGTCCAAGTCCCACCTGATGGAGCTTGTGTAGCACCAGAGGTATATGTACCACAGTTTGAGGAACACTGCTCTAGTGTGAAGGGACTGTGTGGGACTGTGAGATCAGATGACAGCCATGTGGTCAGCTGATGGTTTGATTCCAGCGTGGAGGAGGACATTTGAGTGTGACGGCAGAGACAGACACATTGTCTCACGATAGGACACTTTACATGGACACACTGAGGACAGGACCTTGAGAGCTGAAAGTAACACTTCCACCTGGAGAAGTCTGCACACTCCTCTGGATTTTGCAGAATTGCACATGAAAGATAAGGCCAAACACAAAACAATCTTCTCCATTATTCAATGATTTCACAGCAAAATAGGTCTTCTTTTTACACGTTTGTAGGTGTTATAGGAATAGGAAACAAAATACGATTGAGAGTGTTTCTCATGACTGTATAGGTTTATTTATTTATCAATCTTTATTTAAAGAACCTGTGCCTTATTTATAATATTAAAAGTTACATTAAGTCAAGTTAAAAGTTAGATTATGCATTGTTTGGTAAAAGCTGCTGAATACGAAAAAAGATCTATGAGTTTTACATACATTTCTCTGGCTATAACTAATAGAGAATCTACAGACAGGGACATGCAGGGACGTGCAGAGGATGCCGTGTTTCCAGCCATGTTTCCTTGAACAGTGTTTTAGACACATCACCAGAATGTGGATTGTAAACTTCGGGACAATAGAACTCTGTCCTGCCCTCACTGGGACAATCAGACCACAATCTTATCCTGTTGACACCTCAGTATTTCCTTACAATGAAGAGGCAGAATGTCACCATCAGGACTGTGGAAGTGAAGTCAAGAAGAAAAGCCATGGCCTTCAGAACAGTTTTAAGACCACAGACTGCGATATGCTCTGAGGAGACTCAACTTCCTGAGAAAGTTCAGGTCTTTCAATGTGTGCAGCAAGTTACTGGAGATCTTCTCTCAGTCTGTGGAGGCCAGTGCCCTGAACTTCACTGTGTTCTGCTGGAGGAACAGCTCCAGGAAAAGACAAACTGATCTGTAAAGCTGCTCACGTGATCCACTGTGAGCTGGAGACATTTGTCACAATGAGGGACACGAGGACACTGGACAAACTGCTCTCCATCATGGACACTCCTGCTCACCTACTGTACCAGAGGGACAGATAATACTCCCTACAACTGTACAACAACTCACCCACTGCACTATAGAGGGACAGATAATGGATAATGGAGGGATGGAAACTCCAGTAAACAGGACAGAAGTAAATTCCATTGGTAAATAATACAGATGCATTCCCAAAGCCAAAAGTTCAATGTCCGGGGAACAGATACACTCCTTCACAGTGATATGGTCAGGATTACACCACCTCTCGTTCACCAAAACAGCAATCCTGCCACCCTTCTTCTTACCGCTAAGGAGAGTGTCTCTGTCCGCATGCACAGTGTTAAAGCCTGGCACAGATGCACTGGTGTCCAGGAAGTTCATATGAAGCCAAGTCTCCGTGAAAAACACATGATACTGCTGACAGCACACTCCCTATGGGTCCCAACAAGCACACACAGTTCATCCATCTTATTTCCCAATGACCTTACGTTCCCCATCAGGACTGACAGAACCGCAGGCTTGAATTTCCTTCTTCCTCCTTTCCTTCTTTTGCAACATCCTTAGCTCTTCCTCCTCTGTAGTTCCACAGGGCAGCACTGAGGGCTTGGACAGTGAAAGAAGGTGCTCTCTGGAATACACATTAGGCCGTCTGAACTGCAGGGTCAAACGGTCAAGAATAAAGAGACCAGCGAAAAAGAAGAAAAAGAGACAAAAATGCCCAAGAAAAATGGTGAGGAAAATCTTCAGGAGCACTGTACCCTGCTGCCACTTTCCCTTGTGGATCGACTGGCAATTCCAGGTCTTAAATGATCTATCCAGGATTTGTGTGTTAGACATGTGTGAATCATTCGCAAACAAAACTCCATGTTTGTGATGAGGAAACAATAACAATTATAACATAGATAAGAAAATAGTGTAATATGGGCCTGAAAGCAGATGTGGGCGAGGTAGTAGGTCTGACCTGCACCAGCCTCCAGGACTCTGCAATCACGGCCATTTGGATCCTGTTCAGAGCAAAACCATCCAACTCCCGACTCAAACGCACCGCCACCTGGCCCACCTGCAACACAACACACACTCAGCAGGAGCAGACAGGAGCAGACAGGAGCAGACAGGAGCAGGCAGGAGCAGGCAGGAGCAGGCAGGAGAATGCAAGAGGGAGAGGATGAATACACTGTCCATAGCGACACAGTTTGGAGTGTTGTGGCAGTACCTGGCTCATGAGGGCCTGGGCTGTGTCCATCACAGAGGTTGAGGTCAGAGGGTGAGGGACCAGCTCCACCAGCCTCACCAGGTATGGAGGGTTAACCTGGAACAAACAGAACAAACATGTTCATTCCACTCATGTCAGCCTCTTCTCACAAGTATGACATCACACTGGGTGTGTTCTACATGTATGTTTATGGTGGAATGTTCATGGTGACACAATACATTAGCAAATACTGTCAAAAAAAAGATTCAAGAACAGCCTGTGATCAATATGAGCATTCATGGTATGAGCATCATTGACTAACTGAAAACCTGTTGTAGTTCCAGCTACGTTAGATGTTTGAGATTGTGTTAAGATAAAACTCAGATTAAAGTCTAAAAGCCCCAGACAGAGCAGAGCCTACAGTTAGCATCACACCTCCAGGGAATGTTGATGACATCAGCTGCAAATTATCAAGACATTTTAGTTCATTAATAAGTTTAATGCTTCTGATTGACATGTGTGTAGAACTATTTCAGAATGATTTGTACATCTACACACAGACTCTGAAATGAGCCAAACTCTGGGATTTCTGTGTCACAAAGTGGGCTTAAATAAACTTGACTCAGAGAGCAACTGATCTGTTGTTGAGAAGGGCAAATAATACATCAGAAATATCGTAAATGCTGCCTCATGTCCAAGCAGACCTATTATGCTTATGTCTGCTATAGAGTTATATATAAAAAAGACCTTTGTGGATCATTCTGTTTGTACATAAAAATATATAAATGGCAATATTCATCTAAAACTACTCAAACATACATGATGGTTAAAAGTTGATTTGAAAAGGTGATTTTGCAGAAAAGGTCTGATTTAACAAATAGAACATTTATATCAGTTCCAGAATGTGTAAGTAACACATGTCACTTCTTGAACCTACAGTATTTGAGGTTTTCAAATATACCAAGGCAACAGTAAAATAAATAGTGGGTATAAGTAAGACATGATCGGGTAGTGTCCTGTCAGTGTGAAGACAAACCGGGTGAGCCACCAGGCAGCGGCTCTGCTGCTGCACTTTGGAGAAGACCAGGCTAGGCATCAGACAGGAAGTGGAGCTGCTGAGGATGACATCACTTCCTACAAGGCCTTCAACGTCCAGGAAGACCTTCTGTTTGACCTCCAGGTCCTCAAACACACACTCCTACACAGAGAGAGAGGCGTCAGTGATCCAGCAGGAAAAGTATGCAAGGGCACTCTCAGCCCATAATAAAAGCCAATCTAAAAAGTCAATCATTTGTGGCTCTGGAGCACAGTGTCATCACACAGAAACCAGGTGGTGATGTAGTGGAGTCTTCATCATGAAGATAACTGACAGAAGAATAAGGGTTTGCATTCGACAGAGCAAAGGGTGGATACTCTGAGGATTTGTATATAAAATAAAATTAAAAAATTTGCATATATCTTTGATGTCTTCTGTAAATAAAATGTAGAATGTAAACCAAAAAAACATTAAATGCGAGGAATGTGTCCAAACGTTTGACTGGTAGTGAACTACAGATTACATTATTTTGAAAAAACACTGGAATTTAAAGGAAGTGTAGGTAAGATTTAGGTTTTTATATTGACCATGAACATGATGTCTGTACTAATCAAATACAGCTTCATTCTTAATTACAAAAACACTGGACATGATATCACATTTATTCAGCATTTTGGTTCTCAAGACAATTATCCAATCAGAAAGCAAAATGAGCTTCACAAGTCTCTCATTGCTAGATTCAATGGTCACTGTCTACCAGTGCTAGTGCAGCCTCTGCAGCTCAAGGAGGGAATTATGAAGGTTCTGAGCTTCACATGAGGCCTGGTCTGTCCATATACTGAGAATGAGAAACACTTGGTGTAACTGACGATAATGTCAGTATATTTGTTTTTATAGTAATAAGTGAAAAGGTTATTATTTTATTTGTTCAAGTATTGAGAGGGGTCATAATATTGCAGTTATTGTTTTTGTATTTTATTTGTGAATATATTTGCCTTTTTTAGTTGTGTGACCTTTGCCTTACCCCCGGAAGTAGAAAAGAGAAAAATAGTAGCGCGAAAAAGAGAGAAGGGGACAAAAGAGAGAAAACAGAGAGAGGTGTAAAGAAAAGGGACATCAAGATAAAAATATGCTGTTTTACTACTGCTGGTAACGTAAAGGCGAACACGGTAAATATAGTTTCTATTGTGTATTTATTTAAGGGTGTTTATGAAAAGTTAAGTTATTTTTTGTCTGTTTTGTTTTAGTTTTCACGGTGTATTGGTGTGTTAATGAAGAGTGCTGAAAATAAATACCGACACACAATCATCAGTATGAAGCGTGAACTTCTTTCTCGCTAAGAAAACCAGGGTAGTTACAGTGAAAACGTGACCTGTTTCATCGCACGTGGCTGTTGGCTGCGCTTCCCCATGCATCCAGACGGCGGCGCCAGAGACCGTGATTTGTCTTCAATCTGCGGCAAACCCGCGCATGTTGACTGCGGGAGCAAGTTCACTAAGCGAAATCCTTAAGTCAGATGCAACCACAGTGCCAGTCTCAACCACTGATGAAAGTAAGTTAAAGAAATTCAAAGGACACAGATAAAGAAAAGCACTACAAAACAAGAAACTAAAGCAAATAAATGCAAAATGACCTCACCAGAAAGTAAATCATCTGAAAGTGAAGAGGATGTTCAGACTGAATATAAAGTAAATGCTAAAAAGAAAGAATGTGCTGAACTAGATAAAGATGAGACAAAAACAAGAAAATCCTCTCGTGAGAGACGATTTACTCTAAAAATGCAAGAATTAAGGGAGCAAGAGCTCGCTCAAAAAGAAAAGAGGTTCGCTGCAGTGTATGAAAAATGGAAATCTAGAGTAAGAGACATTCGGACAATATTAAAAGAAGCATGCTCAGAAAAGGATCTGTATAACATGATGGATGAAGCTGAAAAAATTGACATGGAACTGAAAGAGCTATATGATAGTTTAAGAAGGAATGCAGCTCCAAGTCAAGAAATCAGAAGGAAAATAGATGCATGCTCAGCTGTTACATGTGATTTGCTGCGGTTAATGAGAGTCAGACTAACTGAAGAAGAGGGAGAGTTTGATGTTGTAGCAGAGAAGGCAAAGTTACGTGCACTTCTTGACAATGACTATGCCAGATCTATATATGGGTCTACAGCCACCAGAGTGTCTGCACGTGACTGCCATTCTGAACATCCCTCAGAGTCGCCCAGCATCTCACACAAAAGAGCAGAAATTGCTGCAGAGTTGGCTGCAAAGCAAGCTGAAAGTGACATGGAAGAAGCCATAGAAGCGCAACGTCAAGAACTGAGAAAGCTTGAAAAACAAAAAGAGATAGTGAGAATGCAGGCTAAGTTGAGGGTGTACACTGAAGAAGAGATGAAAGTGAAAGAAGAGAGATGTAGCTCGGTACGTAGCAAACGCAGTACTATTCTAACATCTCATACTGAACATGTAGATCAGCCAGCCACACAAAATGAAGCATTTATGCAGGCTTTACATGAGTCAGTTGCTCTCAATAGACTTCCTGCTCCAGAGCCTACTGTATTTTCAGGTGACCCTCTCAAGTTTATAGAGTGGAGCACAAGCTTTAAAGCTCTGATAGAAAGGCGGTGTTCAAATCCTGCAGACAGATTATTTTATCTGCAAAAGTACATAGCAGGAGAGGCTAAATCTACTCTAGAAGGCAGTTTCTACAGAAAAGATGAGGAAGCTTATCAACAGGCATGGGATAGGCTGAATTCTAGATATGGGCATTCATTTGTAGTGCAGAGAGCCTTTAGAGAGAAACTTAACAAGTGGCCAAAGATAGGTGGCAAGGAATATCTTAAGCTGAGAGAGTTTAGTGATTTTCTTCAAACATGCAGTCATGCTATGCCCCACATTAAAGGTTTACAAGTTTTAAATGACTGCGAGGAAAACCAGAAGATGCTGACTAAACTCCCAGACTGGATCACGTCAAGGTGGAATCGTAATGTCACTGAGCAGCTGGACAAAGGCAAGGACTATCCAAGTTTCTATGAGTTTGCTTTCTTCATCTCTAAGGAGGCACGCATTGCTTGTAACCCTGTGTCATCGTTACACGCTCTAAAACCACCTGCAGATATTCCAACAAGAGAAACAAAACGCACAAAAGCAAATGCCTTTGTCACCAATGTGAAAGCCTCAGAAACATCCAGCCCTGCATCCAAGTCCAAGGAACAAAGAAAAGAGACTTTACACCACAAAACTCAAATGCAAGCAAATGCATGTGCTGTGGAGAGGACCACTCCATACACAAGTGACAAAGGCTCACAGAAATGACTGCAGATAACAAGAAAAAATATGTTCAGGACAACAAACTGTGCTTTGCTTGTTTGAGAAAGGGCCACAACTCCAAAGACTGTAAAAACAGAGCAATGTGTGGCATATGCAAAAAGAGCCATCCAACTCCACTACATGAGGACCGCTCATCAGCAGACAAGCCCCCTGCAGAAAGCACAGTTAGTGAAACTACCACCTCTCTCTCATGCTCTGTGGGAGGAGGTGAGAATGGCAGCACATCAATGATTGTGCCTGTGTGGATTTCATCAATTCAGGCTCCTGATAATGAAACTTTGGTATACGCTCTATTGGACACTCAAAGTACTCACACCTTTGTTGATCAGGAGGTGTGTGAAAAGCTACAGGTTGCTACAGAGCCTGTAAAACTAAAACTTGCCACTATGGTCAAAAGAGACTCTATTGTGAAAAGCCAAAGAGTACAAGGACTTAAGATCAGAGGGTTTTACTCAAATATTAGCATTGAGTTACCCCCAGCTTACACCAGAGACTTCATACCCCTTGAGCGTGCTCATATCCCTACTCGTCAAACAGCAAGCAAATGGCAACACCTTGCCAACTTAGCTCAAAAGATGCCCCCTTTAATGGACTGTGCTGTGGGACTTTTGATAGGGTACGATTGCTCCAGAGCCCTAGCCCCCAGAGAGGTCATCGTTGGTGGTGACAGTGAGCCCTACGCCGTTAGGACAGATCTGGGTTGGAGCATTGTAGGAGGGGCACCCCAGCTTGCAAATGCTAGCAATGTAACTGGTTTATGTCACAGAGTGTCTGTTAAAGAGGTTCCCCCTGTAACCCCCTCAGCCATTATTAAAGTACTTGAGTCAGATTTTGCAGACACCAAACAGAGTAGCAGTGACATATCCCAAGAGGATATTCAGTTCCTTCAGATGCTAAATGACAAAATCAAACAAAATGAGCACGGACACCTTGAAATGCCCCTGCCCTTTAAAGCACGTCCACAGCTCCCAAATAACAAAACTTTAGCCTTGATTCGCTTAAAGCAGCTAAAAAGGAAGCTGGACAGAGACTCAAAGTTCAAATCTGACTACATAAAGTTCATGGAAGGAGTTCTAAGAGATGGTGATGCAGAAAAGGCAAAGTCACAACCAGTTCAAGGAAACGTCTGGTATATACCGCATCAAGGAGTTTATCACCCCCGCAAGCCGGACAAAATCAGGGTGGTATTCGACGGCTCAGCAAAGTTTGAAGGAACGGCACTAAATGACCACTTACTAACAGGACCTGATCTTACAAATGGCCTCACCGGAGTACTTTGCCGTTTTCGTAAGCACAACATTGCAGTCATGTGTGATGTTGAAAAGATGTTTCATAGGTTCCACGTTAGTCCAGAGGACAGAGACTATTTACGGTTCCTTTGGTGGGACAATGGGGACACAAACTCAGAGCCCACTGAGTACCGAATGAAAGTACATTTGTTCGGTGCATCTTCATCCCCTGGTTGTGCCAATTTTGGCATGAAGCATCTGGCCAGTGAAAATGAGAGAGACTACCCATTGGCTGCTAACTTTGTCAAAAAACATTTTTATGTGGATGACGGCCTTACAAGTGTAGAGTCAGTTGAGGAAGCAGTCAAACTTGTAAAAGAGTCACAAGCTTTATGTTCAAAGGGAAAACTGCATCTTCACAAGTTTTTGTCAAACAATAGAGAGGTCCTAGACTCGATTGATCCTGCAGAGAGAGCTGTGGAGATAAAAGCTGTTAATCTCAACTACAGTAACCTCCCAGTGCAAAGAGTGCTAGGTATAAGATGGGACATTGAAAGTGACAACCTTTTCTTTCAGGTAGCACTTGATGACAAACCAGTGACTAGGAGGGGTATTTTGTCTGTTGTAGCTTCACTGTATGACCCCTTAGGGTTCCTAGCCCCCTTTATTCTAGAGGGAAAGAGAGTGTTACAGGAGATGTGTCAAAAGGGCATTGGGTGGGATGATCCTCTACCTTCCGAGCTAAAGCTAAGGTGGGAGGGGTGGATGAATGACTTAGAAAATCTTAAGTTTATTCAGATTCCCCGGTGTTTTAAGCCTGTGAATTTTGGTAAAGTCCTGACAGTTGAGTTTCACCACTTCTCTGATGCGAGTAGTCAAGGCTATGGTCAGTGTTCTTATATCAGATTAGTGGGTGAACAGAAAGTACACTGTGTATTAGTCATAGGCAAAGCCAGAGTTGCACCAACCAAAATAGTCACAATCCCAAGGTTGGAACTAACTGCTGCCGTAACGTCCGCTGCTGTTAGTTGCATGTTGAAAAGAGAACTTGAGCTCAAAGTTGACAGAGAGTACTTTTGGACAGATTCTAGAGTAGTACTCGGTTATATCAACAATGAGGCTAAAAGATTTCATGTTTTTGTGGCAAATCGTGTTCAAAGAATCCGAGAAACTACAAACCCAGAACAATGGCATTATATTGACACAAGCGAAAACCCAGCCGATCATGCCTCGAGAGGCCTAAAAGTATCAGACCTTATCCACTCAAACTGGTTCACTGGTCCCAGGTTTCTTTGGGACAAAGACATTGTGACAGAACAGAGCACACCACCAGAGCTCATGGTGGGAGATCCTGAAATAAAAACAATCCAAGTACTGAAAACTGAGTCAACTCAACAAAGTGACATCAAGGACCATTTGGCAAGGTTCTCAAACTGGAATACTGCAGTTAATGTTATTGCTCGCATTAAACGAATGGCAAAGAGGATTAAAACAACGGACCCTCCAAATGTGGAGGAAAGACAACAAGCCATGTTAACACTGGTCGGTCTTGCACAGAAAGATGCTTATGCAAAGGACATAAACAAACTGAATCAGTCTCAAAGGTTGCCCCGTAACCACAGACTCTTTGAATTAGACCCATTCCTTAAAAATGGCATAATGAGATTAGGAGGAAGGTTAAGAAAGGCCTCAACAGGTTTTGAAGTGAGACATCCTGTAATCCTACCTAAAGACTGTTTTATTACTCGTCTCATTA